ATAAGACAGGGTAGTTTGGTGGTTTACCACAGCTATACCATAATGAGGTCATACGCTTAGCCCTATGTTTGATCTTCAGCCCTACATAGCAACAGAAACTACAGGCATTAAACAGGGTTTGCCCAGGAGACTTCATGTATCTTGTTTGTATTACCTCCTTCAATCACCTTTATATTCATATGCCCTTTTCCTAACTCTAAACCAATTCAAAGTCAATGGATAGATAGTGCAATCTGGCTCAGCAAAGGGATTTTGCATTGGTTTCAAATAAGTCTGTCAGATCCCTGATTCCACATTTGAATCAAAATTTTAGGAACAGAATGAACCTAAAGAAGTTGAAATATGGTTACTATTTTAATAAAATTAATGTAAAGAGCTAGGTTCAAAGTTGCTAATTCAAAGCTTCTGATGGGTGTGTGTTTTTTTTTAAAATTATATCTTTATTGTTGAATGTATTACAGATGTTTCTCATTTTTCCCCCATTGACCCCCTCCTCCCCACTCCCGCCCCCTTCCTGCCTTTTCCCACACTGTTGTCTGTGTCCATTGGTTATGCATATGTGCATATAAGTCCTTTGGTTTATGTCTTCCCACCCCCAACCCCCCTTCCCTTTGAGGTTTGTCAGTTTAGCAACCAATTTGTACTTCTTAATCACTTCACCCTTTTCACCCATTCCCCCATCCCCTCTCCCATCTGGCAACCAACAAAATGTTCTCTATATCTATGAGAATGTTTCAGTTCTGCTTGTTCATTTTGTTTGTAGATTCAACTGTTGATAGCTATGTATTCATTACCCTTTTGTTTGTTCATATTTTTTATTTTTTTCTTCAAGAAGACCCTTCAACATTTCATATAATAATGGTTTGGTTTGGTGGTGATGAACTCCTTTAGCTTTTCCTTGTCTGGGAAACTCTTTATATGGCCATAGATTCTAAATGACAGCTTTGCAGGATAGAATAATCTTGGTTGTAGGTCCTTGCTTTTCATCACTCTCAATACTTCTTGCCACTCCCTTCTGGCCTGCAAAGATTCTTTTGAGAAACCAGCTGACAGTCTAATGGGAGCTCCCTCGTAGGTACCTAACTGCTTTTCTCTTGCTGTTTTTAAGATTCTCTCTTTGTATTGAACCTTTTGCATTTTGATGATGATGTGTCTTGGTGTGGGCCTTTTGGGGTTCATCTTGTTTGGGACTCTCTGTGCTTCCTGGACTTGTATGTTTGTTTCCTTCACCAAGTTAGGAAAGCTTTCTGCCATTATTGTTTCAAACAGGTTTTCGATTTCTTGTTCTCTCTATTCTCCTTCTGGCACCAAGATGCGAATGTTGGCACGCTTGAAGTTGTCCCAGAGGCTCCTTACACTATCCTCATTTCTTTGGATTCTTTTTTCTGTTTTGATTGGGTGTTTTTTGCTTCCTTATATTCCAAATCAATGGTTTGCTTCTTGGCTTTACCTACTCTACTCTTGAATCTGTGTAAATTATTCTTTATTTCAGTTAATGCCTCCTTCATTTCTGACTGTGCATCCTTCATTTCTGACTGGTCCTTTTTTATGCTCTTGAGGCCCTCACTAAGTTCACTGAGGTTCTCACTAAGTTCACTGAGCATCCTTATAAGCAATATTTTGAAATCAGCATCTGTAAGGTTGCTTATCTCCATTTCGCTTAGTTCTTTTTTGGGGGTTTTGTTCTGTTCTTTCATTTGGGACCTATTCGTCTCCTCATTTTGGCTGCTTCCCTGTGTTTGTTTCTATGTATTACTTAACAAGAGGTATGGGGCTATCTAAGACCAGATGCTGCTTGTTTGAAAGAATTTAGGAAAACCTGAAGCAGGATCCAAGACAGGCCAATCCTATGGTTAAGCAATTGGCAACAGCTTGGGTGGGCCTGAAAGTTGGGTGGGGTGGGACCTCAGGGAATCACCAGGGCGGGGAAAACAGTGTGAGCCAGGTTGCTGGAGTCCCAGATATGGTGACTGTCTGCAGCCCCAGGGAAGGGCTCACCAAAGGAACAAAGGCCTCTGAGAGCATGTCTGTCCAGGAGAAAGCACCCTCTCCAGCCCTCGCTCCAGTGCCAAACAGCTCAGTTCTTCCCTGTGTGTTTGGTGCCCCTCGAGCTGCCTCCCCTCCAAGCTTAGAGGGAGAGAGTCCAATTAACTCTGTGTGCAGGCCCTTTAAGAGGAGCTGCCTGAGGCTCCAGTTGCCTCAGCCTCACTGAGCCTCAGTTCCTGCTGGTTTTTCCAGCCAGAAGTTATGGGGACTTCTCTTCCTGGCACTGGAACCCTGAACGAGGCCCCTGGTGTGGGATGGGGACCCCTCAGTCCTCAGGGAGGACCTTGCCAGCTGAGGTATCCTCCTAATTTTTATCCACCACAGGTGAGTGTGGGACCAGCTCGTCACCCCTCCACCCCTCCTTCCAGTCTCCATGAGGCTGCTTTTTTAATTTCGTAGTTGTAGGACTTCCATTTAGCTTGATTCGGGCAGTTTTGAATGACGGTTGTTCTATAGTTTAGTTGTAATTTTGATGTGGTGGTGGGAGGAAGCTATACCACGTTTACCTACGCCGCTATCTTGACTGGATGTCTGATGAGTTGTTTGATTAGAAACAACTGGATTGACTTTTTGGTTTCCAATGAAGGGTTTCTTCCATGTTATGCATAAGTTATAACTAATGTTTGAAAATTTAAAATGGTCACGGAGACCAAATCAGTCTCTTTAGGCCATGGATGTTCATTATTGCTTTTATAATAGCTACTACTATATATTATTCAGAATCTGTGTTCTGGACACTAGCACACAGTTAAGGTTAAGAAACTTGGCTGAAGTTATAATGGTAGAAAGTGGGAGGGTAAGGTCAAATTTCTCTGATTTCAAAGCTAGGTCCTTTCCACTAAGCAACACAGTCTTCTTGATTTAGATGTCACTTGTGTTGCCTAGATATCTTCTGTAAAATAAATAAATCTAATACCAAATTGAGAAAAAAGTTTACATTAAAATGTAAAGTTTATCCATACATTAACTGCCTGATTAAAATATAGTAATGAATTTAATTTGTCTCTATCTTCCCTGAGCCAGAAACTAAGATGAAAAAAACACCTGAAAGGCATATAGGCACAGTCAGACGTACACACACACACATACACGCACACAAACATTTTGGGATCACTATGCCATGTGGACTCCTGAAAGGTATACGTGCCTATAATTATGTTGCCATTTCCCCTCCCCTTTTTTTTTCTCCTCTGGACATGGTAGGATATAGCCAGGGAAAGAGGTATCTTTTTCAGAATTTGCCCCAGCATAAAAATGTTTAATCTTATGACTCTACCTTTTAAGAAAATCTTTATTATTCAAAGTATTACAGATGTTTCCCCCCTTCCCCCCGACTGACCCCCTCCTCCCTGATTTCACCTCCCTCCTGCCTTCCCCACACATTGTCTGTGTCCATTATTTATGCATATATGCATGTAAGGTCTATGACTCTACTTTTGTTGCTACCTTAAATATATATTATTTCTATCTAGATATTAATGAATCAGTGACTTTTTATTAGTATCATATGAATACATGATAAATAATTATGAAATTTTATTTCTGTTCTTATCTATCTTGAATTATAAAGTCCCAGAGAGAACTAGGTTCTTCCACACACTTTTTTTTTTTTTAAGTGCAAATAGGAAATCAAATACATTGGGGTCAGAGAACCTTGAAGTCTGAAGAATTGGGTTGGTTCAGACTAAGCCATTTACTAGTAGGTAACCTTGGGCAAGTTATAGAATTTTTTTCTTGGCTATAATTTCTCCATACATACGAGAATAATACCAGTGTTGCAGGGTTGCTTTAGGATTAAATAATACACATGAAAAATACCTTGTTTTCAAGTTCTATACCAGTGTTGATTACAATTTTTAGCAAACAAGGCTTAATAACTTCAAAAGGTGATGATAATTTATTGATTTTTATGAACTATAAAAACTAAAACTTATTATCAACTCTAGATTTTCCTGGAACTTAAATGGTAAGCTGTGTTTCTGATGTTTTATGCAAAGTGTATTTCCTAAGTTTAAATTTCTTTGTTAAAACACTGTTCAAGACTCAGTAGCTTTTCTTTCTCACTGCTTGGATGTCATATAATTTTAATTGTGATTATTTTTTGTAATTCATATTTATTCTTTCATTCTATTAATAAAAAACAGGAAAAAATCATAGGCTTTACAACCAATTGTAACTAAGTTGGAATTATCTGAAAAAGGCATATTGCAGGGTTGTTGCCTTACATAAAAAAAGAAACTAATGTCTGGAAAATTGTTGGTTACAAATATCTTTAGGTTTCTTGGTTGCTGAATTTATTTTGGGTCTAGAACATTGGTAATTCATGTTTTTAAAGTTGCAAATCTGGTCACAACCATTTTGTAATGGTTTCCTAATTTAAGGAAGTTGCATAACTTCTGTTTGATTGTGATTTGGTCCCTATGAGCAGCACCAAATATTCAATGACTATAAAATTTAGATTATAGGACCTTATTTTCTGCTCATTATTTTTGGGAGAACATTGCCCCTTTGAGGTAATTCCTTTGTGGAATTTCCCTGGTCATCATAGTTGTTTCTGATCATAGAAAATATTTAATTGTATCAGAAAGAATTATGGAGAATTTTTACTAAAACCAGTCTACTTTTTGTCCCCCAAATTCTCTGTAGGCCCTTCCATGTTTTCTTATAGACCCAATAAAATAATTTAGGTATAGAGTAGAAAAATAGCACTATCAAAATTCTATAGTATGTTTCAAAATCGTTCACAAAACCCTTAGGAATTCCTGCTTTATATCTCATGAAGTCTGTGGGTTTAACCATGGCTGCAGGGAAATGTGTCTTCATTTACCACGAGGGACCTGTGTTTTCAGTACAACAAACAAGAATAAAGCTTTTGATACAAAGTGTGAAGTCTAGAAAATTGTGGAGGTATGAATAACTTCCACAATTTTTATAAAAGAGATTTTCACTTTCACCTGGCAAATGATGTACTTGATTCCTCTGTCTCAGAGCTGGTATTTCATTCCTATAAAAGCCTGGTGCTGCCTCAGGAGTTCTGGTAGGAAGTCCTAAAGCAAAGGAATACAAAAAAATTATTGGCATGTAATTTCTTAGTCCAAATGAACCAAGAATTTTTACCTTAGAGGTGAATTTCATGATAGCTATTTAGAAGGGTCTCTATTTTATGCCTTTATGTGTGTATTTTGGTACTACACCAACCTAAGACTGTTTAAAGGGAAGATTTCTTCTTTGGAGAGGATATAGTAGAGTTCTAGGCACATACAATCACACAGAAGGGGCATTCAGAATAGGATATAAGACCTAGTTGTAATTTAGAATTAAGGACAGAGCTGGTTACTTCCTTGTTAGTATTGTATGACATACACCTCTCTGATATTTTAATAAAGATATCTTTACTAAAGATGCCTAAATAAATATATTTTAATAAAGATAAATATTTCTATCACCTAGCCCTCACTTGAACTTGATAGCATAATAAGTCTATTGTATATCATGGATAGTGAGAATCATAAAGATGGATGGTCGTATAGGTAGCAGCAGTATTAGGACCTAATGCCAGTCTAGAAAAAGATATTCATCTGAGCAGTAATTTTTAAAGGCACAGCTTCAAGGAAGACAAAAGTAGAAAAATTTACACCTGTGAAAAGAAATAACCCTACAGTTGAAGGCTTGGTTAGTTTTCAACAACTTGTCCAAAGAAATAGGTACTGTTTCCTTTAGGGGATTGCAGTTCTGTGCCAGGACCTAGTGGAATTAGGGCTGAAAGTTAGCTCCTGCTCACCCCCTTGGGAAGTATATTTATTTAGTACACAAATTGCACACAATCTTACCTGGTAAGTGAAAAAGGGTTACACAGCTTTAAGAAAAAACACTAACAATTTGTAAAATTATTAGTCTAATGCTGGTTTCTGTTAGACTGTCAGTTAGACTGTCAGTTCATTTAGCATGGAGTATGTTTATTTTGTTCATTAGTTTATTTTCAGTGGATAGCATCTTACCTATCTAATTGTAGATACTAAAAATTATTTGTTGAATAGTTGGTGAATAATTCAACATGAAATTATTATATTATCCTGGAAGTTGAGAACATCTGCTTTATGGTTGGCTCATAAGGATTCTTTCAGCTCCTAATTCCTACTGTTTTTTTTCTCATTATTCTAAAGGATATATTTAATAGGTCAAAACTTCACTCTATTTTTCTTGTGGTTTATTGGGCTAAAAGAGAGTTTGAGATCCACGTAGACAGAGTTATAAAATGATTACTGGTCTCCAGCTCCTGTAATTCCTAACCACTCTTACTCAGAGATATGTGTGTCAATGTTTTAATCTGTTTTTAGCAAGACTCTACAGAGGTGAAGGTCTGAGATCCCAAAATAGATACTGAGAGGTAAAGTAACTACTGAAAAAAAGAATATTTAAAAAAGTTTCAGAACCACTGCACTAAGGGGAAGAAAAAGGAAGAAAAATATTGGCTCTTAAATACTACATATGCATAAAAGGGGAAGATATACCCAGAAACAAAAATAAAATTGCCATTATAAGTTGGACCTAATGAACTGTTTCTTAGTATACAAATCAAGGAGACCTGTTAAAAGTCATGACTGCTTTTCTTAAATTTTCAAAAGTTAGAATGTATTACAATTATTCTAGAGTTTCTCTTAATTATATATATTAATCCTGTCATAAGTTATCTAAACACTTTAATTTATATTTTCATTCTTTTCTACCTATAGAAATAAATAAATAAATAAATAAATAAGCAAGCAAGCTGTATGAGTTTTGTAAATGGCTGTTAAAGTCTTAAATTTTTTTTTTAAATGTTTTGATTTTTGGTATAGAGAGATAGAAACACCAATGTGAGACAGAAACATCGATTGGCTGCCTCCTGCCCGCCTCCTACTGGGATCGAGCCCAAAATCCAGGCATGTGACCTGACTGGGAATTGAACTGGGACCTCTCTGTCCATGGGACGATGCTCAGTCCACTGAGCCACACCAGCTGGGCAAATTTTCTTTTTTCATAGTTACACTTTAGTTGTATGAGCTGGGCTAAAAGTCTGCATTTGTCCCCATGTCTTTTCTGATAATCTAGATTGGATGCAGCAAGTCCTATAACAAGAGTAAGAGACTGTAGAATGTAGTTTTATGTGTATATGTTGCTATGGCATTCTGGAAATAGTACTGGGCAACTTCTCCTTTGTGGACTTAAAAAGACCTCCTACTATACACAATTACTTATTTTTCTTTTTCATGGGAAATGAATGAAATAAGCAAAATTGAGTCTTTCCAATATTATTAAATAAGATAAATTAAACTCTGTTGGCACTTTCCCCAGAAAAATAAACTTCACATGTTTTAACAAATGAAATATATAATGATTAAAAAGCTTTAAAAAGTGTTAGCAGACACTTTTTTGATTGCATGTAGTCCTCTGAGTCTGCCAAAAAAAAAAAAAAAAAAGTGATGGTGGCTTTCCAGAACTGTCAGGGCACATACAAGAAGCAATCAATGAATGCATAAATAAGTGAAACAGCAAATCAATGTTTCTCTCTCTAAAAAAAAACAATCAATAATAATAATAAAAAGAAACATAATAGGCAGAGGGGGCTAAAAGGAGGATATCTACTAGAAACCTATAGCAATTGCCATACTTATGAAATACTGAAAGAGTTATCGCTGAGACTGGAAACAAGAACAAAGTGTCTGCTAACACGACAGCTATTCAACATTGTATTGGAGGTCCTAGCTAATTTCTTTCTTTAGAAAAAAAGAAATGGAACCGTCATTTTTAACAGAGGTATAATCAGATACATAGATAATTCAAAAGAATTTACAAATTATTGGAGTTAAATAAATTTATCAACAAGTTTAACACATAAAAATTAGGATGGGCCTGGAAAACATTATGTTAAGTGAAATCAGCCAGTTAGAGAAAGACAAGTACCATATGATTTCACTCATATGTGGAATTTAATGAACAAACTGAACTAACAAGCAAACTAGAAACAGACTCATAGATAGAAAGCAGGCAGACAGCTCTGATGGGCAGGGGGTGTTGGGGGAGTGGGAGATTGGCAAAAAAAGAGAGAAACAAATGTATTGATTATACATTATGTCATACTAATCCATGCATTACCTATAGGGAAAGTTTCACTCACTGAAGGAATACCTAGATGAACCTAGTGTGTGGAATGTTTGTATCTTCTGTGAAATATTAAAAAGCAATGCCATTAAAAAATAACTTGGAAAAAAATGTATTTTTATATTCTGGTCACAAATAAAAAGAAAATTTAAAATTTATAATATAAAAAAATACATAAGGATAAATCCACTGAAAGTTGTGCAAGACCTCTACAAAGAAGACTGAAGATATTTCTGAATGTAAAGATGACATATAAATGGAGAGATACCACATGGAAAATTAGATATTATTGAATATATAAATTCTACACAATATATCTATGGATACAATGAAATTGTAATCACTAAGCGTATTTTTGTGTGTGTGCACTGTCAAATTGTTTCTAAAAGTTATGAGGTGGGACTTCCGGTCAAGATAGCGGTGTAGGTAAACGCGGTATCGCATTCTCCCACAACCACATCAAAGTTACAACTAAACTACAGAACAACCATCATTCAAAACCGCTTGAAATCAAGCTGAATGGAAGTCCTACAACTATGAAATTAAAGCAGCAGCCAAATCCAGACTGATAGGAGGGGCGGAGAGGCCAGGGACGGGTCCCACATGTGGCAGATAAAAATCAGGAGGATACCTGGCAGGGAAGATCCTCCCTGAGGACTGAGGGGTCCCCGTCCCACACCAGGTGCCCCGCTCAGGGGTCCAGTGTCAGGAAGAGAAGTCCCCATAACTTCTGGCTGGAAAAACCAGCAGGAACTGAGGCTCAGGGAGGCTGAGGCGGCTGGAGCCCCAGGCAGCTCCTTAAAGGGCTCGCACATGGACTTATCGGACTCTCTCCCTCTAAGCTTGGAGGGGAGGCAGCTGGAGGGGAGGCAGCTCGAGGGGCACCAGAGACACACAGGGAAGTACTGAGCTGTTTGGCACTGGAGCGAGGGCTGGAGAGGGGGCTTTCTCCGGGACAAATGTGCTGTCAGAGGCCTTTGTTCCTTTGGTGAGCCCTTCCCTGGGGTGGCAGACAGCCATCATATCTGTGACTCCAGCAACCTGGCTCACACTGGTAGCCCCGCCCTGGTGATTCCCTAGGCCCCACCCCACCCAAATTTCAGGCCCACCCAAGCTGTTGCCACTTGCTTAACCATAGGATTGGCCCATTTTGGATCCTGCTTCAGGTTTTCCTAAATTCTTTCAAACAAGCAGCATCTGGTCTCAGCTAGCCCCATACCGCTCATTAAGTAATACACAGAAACAAACACAGGGAGGCAGCCAAAATAAGGAGACAAAGAAACAGGTCCCAAATGAAAGAACAGAACAAAACCCCAAGAAAAGAATTAAGCGAAATGGAGATAAGCAACCTAACAGAAGCTGATTTCAAAATACTGCTTATAAGGATGCTCGATGAACTTAGTGAGAACCTCAGTGAACTTAGTCAGGGCCTCAAGAGCATAAAAAAGGACCAGTCAGAAATGAAGGAGGCATTAACTGAAATAAAGAATAATTTGCACAGATTCAATAGTAGAGTACATAAATCCAAGAAGCAAACCATTGATTTGGAATATAAGGAAGCAAAAAATGCCCAATCAGAACAGCAAAAAGAAAAAAGAATCCAAAAAAATGAGGATAGTGTAAGGAGCCTCTGGGACAACTTCAAGCATGCCAACATTCGCATCTTGGGGGTGTCAGAAGGAGAAGAGCGAGAACAAGAAATCGAAAACCTGTTTGAAACAATAATGGCAGAAAACTTTCCTAACTTGGGGAAGGATACAGACATACAAGTCCAGGAAGCACAGAGAGTTCCAAACAAGATGAACCCCAAGAGGCCCACACCAAGACACATCATCATCAAAATGCAAAAGGTTCAATACAAAGAGAGAATCTTAAAAGCATCAAGAGAAAGGCAACTAGTTACCTA